ACAACCACCTTTTATGGGGTTTTTTGTCAGAATTTATCTGAGAATTACCATAAGCAACTATTACTTCACAATCATTTTTTATTGTAATTTTACTTTTATTTATCAAAACTAGTTCAAAAGTTTTTAAACCATTTATAACAGCTTTTACCTCATAATCTGTGGAAGTAGAATAAACTTGAGGTTTTGTATGGTATTTTTCTGAAGCATATCTACAAATTTGTTCTTTAGAAATATTTTTATATTTATTCTTCTTTTTCTTTAAGATGGCTCCCCATCCTAATCACATCCATCACATTCTATAACTAAATAGTCTGTATCCAATGACAAAGATAAAGAAGGCAAAAATAATTAAAAATAATATTGTATTATAATATAGGTTAGTTATTTTAAATTTAAGACATAATTTATATGTTTAAAATATATTTACTTATATAAATTTTAAATAATTTATAGACTCAAATATAATATTTATCTGTGTACCAAAAAGATTATAGATTCTCTTGTCGAGGATATATTGACTCTAAACCATTAAATCTAGTTACATAAGGTTGATATCTTAGTTGCATACCAAAGGAGTTTGAAGACTAGTTAACTTGCTCGAAAGAGATCTGATGGAAACCTCAAGGAGAGACTTGATTGATGAATTTTCTCTTTTAAGCTTCTTCCTAATACTTTGACTTTTTGACACTTCTTAAGCTTCTTCAAGGTCTCTAATGATAGAGGAAACCTCTAGACCCACCTTCAATGGTGAAGAACTCTCTTCAAGTGGTGCCACTTCAAGGAAGAAGATAAACCAATTCAAATCTCACCACACTCTTAGGAAGAGGATAAGAGAATTAGAAGCAAGTCAAAGAGAGAATTTAAGCTTTTAAGAGAGAGAAATTGAGAGAAGTATCAACCAAACTCAAATATATGCTTAAAAGTTCCTACAAAATGGGTAAAAATTACAATATATAGAGTTTAGTTAGCTTATGGTGCAAGTTAGACTAACCATGGTTAAGTATAACCATGGTTAGCTATCTTGTACTTAAGCTAACTAATCCTAGTTAAAATGTCTACAAGCTTAGTTAGTTTTTAGAAGCTTATAGAGCAAGCTAGGCTAATCCTAGTTTAATAATAACCTAAGTTAGCTTAAGTTAATGTCAACTACCTAACCTAATCATTACAACTACTAGACTAATTATTACTTTTAACAAGTTTGTTGAGATGTCACTATCAAAGCCATGTGACTTAATTTGTAGCTTAGATGGCAAGCTTGACATGATTTGGACATCCAAACCACTTGCATGAGCAAATGGACGTCCAAATCTATGGGCCATAAAAAAGGTTAGGGTCATCCAAGCCCAAATAAGTCTAACAAGACTTTACTATTTAAACCTCCCCTAATCTACTAATTACACCCTCAAGTAGTACAAGGATAAAATTACCTACACTACTTGACCTAAAATACAAGATCAAAAATATCCTAATACAATTACTACTAAAATGAATTACAAGTAAAGAAAATGTATAACAACAATAGGAGTCCTTTGAAGTAGGATAAGCCTTCAAATGTAAGGTACTCTACAAAATAAGGGTAAGTACCCTACAATTCTTCAAACCAACTTTATCATTCTTTACCCTTATTGGTCTTATTTCTTCCAAAGGGATCCTTGGGGAGTAGGTTTCCATCAAGATCACTCCCAATTTGCATAGTCCTTGACAACCTGAGGACTCTAGCTTTGTGGTTCAGTTTAGCAAATGCTAACATTTAACTGTTACATGATAATAAAAGATCTTGAATGCACTTAAATGTCACATCAATTAATGGTAACACCTTTTCTCCTATACATACACTTGCATTTCACCTTCAAAAGGTACACTGATTCTTGAGATTACACATATACACTATGATTATCGTTGACTTTGGCATTAGAGTCCCTTTTGCAAGTACAATCACCAATCCAAAAAATTGAAGACTTCCAAGGACTTTAAACAAGTACTTTTTCCAACAAGTACATTTGGTGTCCATCGTGGAGCCATAGAAAAATTATTCATATTGTCTTTATTGACAAGTAGATGGCGAGAACAAGCATATCATTGAGCCAAAATCAAGAGACACTAGATAACACTCGCATGTAGGAAAAATTGTAGAGAGAGCTACAATAGTGACATGACAAAAGTGAACGGTAGCAGAAGTGACATGAAGAGGAACTAGTGTAACATCCTAAATTTTCTAAAATTATTAAAAAAATATTTTAATTAATTAAATATATTTTATAATTGCATTAAATATATTTTTAAATAATTATGAGTGTTTTTATTAATAAAAGGAATATTTGTGAAATTATTTATTATATTAATTATTAGAGATATAAATAGATTATATTTGTTTTTACATATTTTGATTGTATATTATGGTTTTGATTGATTGAGAATTTTTATAGATAAGAATGTTTTAAGATAAGAAAAATAAGAATTTCAAAATTATATTATTTGAATAGATATTATCTTATGTATGTGAATGAAAATAAATATTTCAAAATTATTTATTTGAAAAAATATTACCTTATGTATTTATATATAAGATTTTGAATTAATTAATTGGGATTCTTTTGATAAAAAAAAACACATTAGTGATAAAAAGAATATTTTCTAGTTAATTATAATAAGCAATTATTTGAATTTCAAAAGGGAAGTAACCAACAATGAATTAACAAACTTTTATCGATAGATTATGCGAGGGTCAGGGTTTCGTGTTCTCTATTTATAGAGTAGTAGTCTAGGGTTACCTCTCATAATTAACATGTATATTTGTGGTTTAAAGAGGAGAGAATGACTTGTCATTGAGAGAGAACAACAACAAAACACAAGAGAAAAAAGAATATAGGAAATTGATTGTTCAATTCGCATATCTACTATGTAGCGATTTTATAATTCCAACCAAAGTTTTGTTCACTATTTGATCAAGCTGAATTTTGGATAACTAATTTGTAGAACATTATTCTATGTTTTCAATGGTTGAATCGTCAAAAAGATATCTAGAGTTGGAGAAAAAACGTTTCACAATGAAAGTTATTCTTTTGAGGGTTTTCATCTTTTTGCCTATCATTGAAGAGGGAGAACCAAAGATGATCTCAGAGATCTACATATGGAGTTTGGCAACCATCAAGGTAAAGGAAGAGTGAAAACCTTACTCTAAGGTGTGGGTTATTTGTTGGATAATGGAATTGGCCCCTAATCCCGTTGTTGTGTATGTTTGTGTGAGGGGTTAAACTCAATTCTTAAAACCTATCAAACACCCAAAAATATTTTTTTTACACCAACAACACCCAAAATTATTAAATAGATAAGAAAAAAGAGAGACAACTAAACATGGAAGAATAAACCAAAACTCAGGAAATAAAATAGAATTTAGCCATGAAATAGTATCTTGGTAAACCATATATAAAGATTACAAAAGAAAGCTTCCCAAACAAAAGGAGGCAAGAAATCCCATAGGTAAAAATTAACGTGATGATGCAACTCATAATTAACTAACATGTCCTACTTGTCTCCATACTTATTATACACTAGTGCAGATAGGGTCCTTCACGTCGGACTTTTTAAGCCTTTTACGTCGGGAAAGTCACCGACGTTAATACAGGAGACGTAAATTTACGTCACCTTTAAGAGACGAGGTAAATTTACGTCGATTCTCTTTACCTGACGATGTAAAAAGGGCTTCAAAAGGGCAAAAAATAGCCATTAATTTACGTCGGACCAGACTATGTCCGACGTAAATTAATGGCTTTTTTTTTTTAAAACGTTTGCTATTTTTTCATATACCCAAAGGATCTCTCCGGTCAGAGGAGGCACTCTCGGTCATCACGCGACCAGGCCCCCTCAGGCTAGTTTTGGTCGGTCGTATCCCGATACGAAGTCTCCAGGACGCTCCCCGAATAAAAGCAGTTAAGGAAATCCCTACGTTCTCGGGGCCCATGAGGCCCATGGACAACAAACTATAAAACCTAAAACCCTAAGGCTAAGAAGGCAGATTACACTTTTGAATGCTCTGGCTTTGAGGTTTGACCTAGGAAAAAACCCTAATGCTCCCCTTGGCCGGAACACTTTTATTTTGATATAATATATAAATACTATATAATATTTAATTTTTTCTTTTATTTTGATATATTTGTTTGTTTTTAATTATTTTCAGTAGCAATTTTGATATATATATTTTTTAACTATTTTCAATAGTAATTTATTTTATTAGAGGGAATTGCTGAATACATGTTTTAGAGGGAAGAAGTTATATCCTTTATGCATACTATAGATACTTGTTAAATATTCTAAAAATTAAAAATAAAGAATATGTAAAAACCGATTTTGAGTCTGTATTTAACTGTTGAAATAATTTTAGGCTTGCGTTCCTAATTCATTTGAAAGTAGTATTTTTATCGCTTCATAAACTTATAAAGATTAAAAAAAATAGCTTAATTATAATTAAATAATATTACATAATGCATACCCATAAGAATAATTACTATCATACCATCACCCCGTTTAGAAATTGTATCTATTATCTTGCGAGTAATCATTTAAGGGGTAACTTCAGAATTCCTGTCATTGGCCAGTTCTTTTAAGAGGGGCGATCCAATCATCCACATCCAATTATGGTCAATAGTAGGCAAGGCTCGAAACCATTCAAGGAACAAAACTATATATATATATATTTTTTTTTTTTTTCTATTAAAGTATCTCGTAATTCGGGAATTTCTAATTCAGTTAATTGAATCTATAACAGATAAATATTCCTTTAATAATTTCACAATCCTCCAACACAATTTGACAAAATTCCATTTGATGTAAACTTCATATTTGAAATTTATATTAAAACATTTTAAAAAGTTTATAATGTGTAGTAATAAATATTAGTTACATAACAATTTTTATTTTTTTACTATTATCTATGAAAGTGATAATTAATCCACTGCATTGAATTTGAATTTTGTTCTGTGGGAAGGTTAAGTATCCTAATCTTTTGCTTTAAAAGAGAATCCATTACTAGAGAAAAACATAGACAAAAAATAATTGTACAACTTCAATGTGCTAAAACACTCATTCTTCAAAAGGAGAAGATCTACACTCCTTTAAGATTTTTTTTCCCAAAAAAAAAAGTAGAAGAATGAAACCAGAGTGCACCTAAAATGAAACTAAACCCAAAATTTATCGGATGATGGTACTTGACAGCTGTCCCTTCTAAGAGTCAACCATTTCAATTTTCTCGCCTTGTCCTCCGACGTGGAGCATTAGATGCTTCCTCTTTCTCTTTGTTTTCTTCATTCTCTCCACCAGCTTCTTTATTGGAACCAGCTTCTTTATTGGAAGCTTCTGTTCGTTCTGTGTTCTTCTTCTCCACCTTTGCCTGCGCAAGGGACTTGATCATGAGATTTAAACAATCATAATGAATAACTCCGCGAAAGAAATAAGAATTTGGGAGAAAATTTCACTACTACTCACAGGTTTCTTCTTGCCACCAAATATGATCCTGAAGAAAATTGACACGAAGACAACCACAACGGCTACAATAATTCCAATAGTGATATTTGGCTGCTTCTCGGCTTTCTCGATGAGATCCTGCGGAGAAGCATTAAGCATAGTTCATATTCCAATAAAAGAAACACAATCGGTACCAAAAAGTGAAGGAAAATGTTAGTTTGATTATTCTATACTTCGGTACTTACATATATCTTATCTTTGTGATCGCTCAAGAAGGGAATGTCTGCAATCTTGTATAAGAGGTCGAATACCTTCTTCTGCAAGGTCAGAAAAGAACATCATAATAAGATAATTGGGTGCTTGAGGAGACTAAAAAGAGAAAGAGAAAAAAAAAACACAGAATTCTTTCGTTACCTTGAGGCCTGAAATACCATCTGAACTGGTTTCCGCCTCTTCAGCTTTCTGTTTTTCTTTCTCAATGGTGAACTTGGGCTTCCATGTAGTCTCCCGATAGGATTCTGCAATTTTATCATCGTTGGCTATCAGAATATTGTCAAATAGTATGCCATCTTGCATTGTCCAAATCTCAATGCCAATAGCAGCAATAGGCTCAAAATTAGGTTTTGCGAGGTCAAAGTAGTCAGGGTTTGGAATATCCCTAGGCTTCCATATGCCCTTGTAATCGGGGTTATCAATGTTAGGGGCACTCCACTTCCCTTTATAAGCTGGATTCCTCTTCATTGGTTTTTTCCATTCACCACAACCAGGGGCAGCCTCACACTTCGGGTTATCAATCTTTGGGGCTTCCCATTCACCATCCTCCTCATCATCCCAATCTTCTGGTTTTGTTGCCTCTGGGTCTTCTATTTCCTCTGGCTCATCATCTAACCATCCTTCGGGTTTTTCCGCCTCATCATCAACAATTTCCATGGGTGCATCCTCATCCCAGTCATCTGGTTTCACAGCACTTGGGTCTGGAATTTTGGCTCTTTCATCCCAGTCCTCGGGTTTCTTATCATCAGGATCAGAGATTGTCTTGGAGGGGATAAGAGGAGGCTCAAAATCCTCAGAAGATAAGAAATTTGCCTTTTTCTTCTCCTCCCCATCAATCAAAATTTGTAATTCATTATCAGGCTTCAGAATTGCGGTGTATACATGAGATAGTTTGTCAGATGGGACAGAAGGGGGATACTTGAGATGATGTTCAACATACTCCCCATTCTTTGGATTCTTGTGCTTCAAAATGAAGTGCACCTTGTTTGTAGCCCCACACTTATCAGGACCAAACATGATAGAATACGGAGATTCGTTGTTAAATTCCTTTGGTTTCCATCCACTCTCCTGGGGTCGAAGATATTTAATATATGCACCACCACATTCAAGGCCATTCTGAAGGCGAGTCTCAAACTGAAGAACAACTGTTCCATCCTTAAGACTGACAGGCTCATCAAGTTCTTTGACTATAGCATATTTCCTGGCTTGTTCACTAACAAGAAGTCCATAATCATCATGCCCTTCACTCTTAGCATGCTTCCAGACACCTAGAACCCAAAATACAAAATAAAATTATACATTTAAAATTCGGTTGATCGTACCATATATTATCAAACCACCATAACAGGATTGGAGTAGTTTGCAAGAGGTGTTAAGTTAAAACCTCCAAGGCTTTTGTACCAGAAAAATAATAGAAAAACATATATACTTCTTTGCTTCAAATATGTACTCAAAATGAAGGAAAAAATATAAATAAAGCATAGAGGAAAAATATTTATAAGCCAACTTTAAGGACAGCATGATCAGACACATAAATCTAAAAATATAAATAAGTGAAGCATATTTTGACATTTCATCATATCATAGTACAGACAACTGGAAAATTTATCTATGAGATTTATCAATTTCTCTACATAATGATTGGAGACCAACAGAATAATACTTTGGGGAATCAACTCACAATCATTGCAAACTAAATCCAAGTCAATGACCGATAACATATTCATGGGTTGAGGGCATACAACCCTTTTGCAAAATGAATCCCTGCTGCTGGAACAGAGGAGTCAAACGTTGAACTTTACAAAAAAAAAAAGTTATTTATTCATGCATATAAAGAGTGAGAGGATACGTGTCAGGTGATAGTACAATAAAAATTAATCTTATTCATACAATTATACATGGATGGTCAAAATTATTTTGATCTGTGACCGTCCATAAAAATCTGACTAGAATTAACTCAAATAACTTCTCATTTGAGAGTGCGTGCATAATGGAAACATTTATAATGAGATAAATCTAGACCATACAACAACACATAGATGAAGTTATTTGATTTATTTCCCTTATTTATGACCACGTAAAAAATGATCTGCATTTATCTTTAAATCATGACCGTTTAATCAAGATCTAATGAATTCTATTCACCGTTCCCATTTCTCACAGAAATGAAATGTTCTCATCAGAGTGTGAACTCATGAAACCTCAAAAAGTGCACGTGGAGGTGGACCCAAACACCACTAATTTAAGTTTAACCTTATTTTGGAATCTGCAAAGGAATTTCTACACTCGTAGCAGCTAAAACCGATTTGAATGAAATGTACAGCATTAGTCAATACCAATGTTCAAGTAAACGAAACACAGAGTTGATAAAGGAAACAATCTCTATTAAAAATACAGCACCGATCTACGCAGAGAAGCTAATTTACCTTGGTATTCGTCCTTGCCGGATACAATCCAGCGTCCGTCGAAATCCTCGTCGAACGACTCGTAGAAGATCTAAACGACACAAACATTCCGCGATCAGAGATCCAACAATAATAGTAATGACAACAATAAACAATGAGGAAATGAATGTGAAGGTATCTCCGAATTACCGCGTCGTCAGCGTCATCGGAAGCGCAAACGAAGTGAAAGGAAGAGGAAGCAATGAGGAAGAGGAGCATCGCCAAGAGCCCCAAAGCCATTGGGATTCCTTTTCGTTCTCCCATCTCTCGCTCTCTCGAAGGCCAAACCCTAAGTCTGAATTGAAATGAAACTCTGTTCTGAGATGAGATCTAAATAGATATATTTCGCTCTTCCAACGAGAGGGAGTGAGAATGTGACACAGCGCTTGCGCTTTCTTGCTTTTTTCTTTCTACATGTCTCAACCAATCATATTAACTGCCACGTGAAATGGGCCAATGAGCGGACGCCACGTAACACTCTCGCGTCATTTCCCTCTACTCCACCGCATTAAATCCCACTTCGTGCAATAAAATTCGTTCTCCTAGTCATAGCGCCTTCATTTTTTTTTTTTTTCTCAATTCGAACATCGTGGAGGAGTTGACTGGGCTTTTTTTCAGGCCCATGGGCCATAGGCCCCCTATTCATGAACTCTGACAAGGCTCATGATATATACACTTCCTTTTTTTATAAGTATACCTCCTTTATTTTTAAATTATAAAATATTGTAGTTTTTTTTTTTTAAATTTTTCTAATTTTACATTTCCAACTTTTAATTTGTTACTTTTTTCTTCTTTTTCACATACATTTTTTTTCTCTTTTAATTTTCACATGCTACCAAAATAAGTAGGGTGAAGGAAAGGTAAGGAGGTGCATATAAAAATTGAAAAAAAGAGGAAAGATGTGTAAAAAAAAGTACTAAATTAAATGTTATGGATATAAAATTTGAAATTATAAAATATTTTAAAAATTTAATTACTTTTTTAAAAAAAAAGAAGTGTACTTATAGAAAAAAGGAGGTGCATATATCATCAACCCTCTGACAAATAAAAGTATAAGCATCAAATATCAAAATTAATATATAACAGTAAGATTATCACATTTTGTATTTCTACATTTTACTAATTTAGTCCAGATACTCCATACAATTATGTTTATTTAATAAAAATATTTAAAAATTAATATTTATTGAATCAACTCATGTTATATTTGATCTTAGATTTCAAAATCTTGAGTTCAAATCATCTAAAAATAAATTATAATATAATCACTTTATAATAGATGTAAATAGATTGTAGATTTTGAACGAGTATAACATGATTTTTTTATAAAGATATTTTATGAAGTTTATAGAGGATATATTTAATGAATAGAAAAGGAACTATCACTATAAATTATTTAATTGATGACAAAAGTTAAATTTTCGATCCTTAATTTTAAGAAAAATGTGTCAACTAAAACGTGAACGGCAGGATTCGAACCTGCGCGGGCAGAGCCCACATGATTTCTAGTCATGCCCGATAACCACTCCGGCACGTCCACCTTTTGTTTGCTCGATGCATTTTTTTCTATACTTATAGTTATTTTAATGTTTTAAATCAATGCATGTATGGTGTATATATCATTGTTTTGTTTATCCATCATTTCTTAAAAATATAATATCAGTAACTTCTCCTTAATATACTTTCCACCTAGTTTTCTTAAAATCTAGTCATTACATTAATTTATTTTTTTTCATAAACATTATTAGTTTACATTTATTACATTTAAAATTCTATGAGTTTAATTTTCATTTTTATATTTTTCTTCTCTTAAACTTATCGCATTTTTTCAATTAAAAAAAATGTCTATTTGAATAAGCTTCTCCACAAATATTTAATGGGGATAAAAAAATTAAAATAATTTTTTCTATAAATTTAAATTAATTTACGCATAAATTAAAAAAAAAAAAGATAAGAAAATATAAGAGATCTTTTACAAATTAACTCCTATTTAAGCTAATTTTAATTTATATAGAAACTTATTTAATTTTTCCTTTATAATTTTCTTAGGCTAAAACCTTATTTTTGTCCCTTATAATCTTTTTTTGTTTCAATTTAGTCTTTCATTAATTTTTGGTCTCAAATTGGTCCCAAATTAATTAATTGATTTCAATTTAGTCCCAAATTAATTAATTAGTTTCAATGTAGGACTTCCGTCCAAATTATTTACACGAAGTTAACTTTTGGTCACGTGGATGCCACGTAGATGCATACGTGGCATCCACGTGGATGAGAAAATTCTTTTTAATACACCTGGACCCGAAACGGCCCGTTCTGAAACCGGAACGGGCCGTTCTGGTTGCAAAATTAAAACACCACCAGTGAAGCAGAACGAGCCGTTCCGCTTTTAC